TGGCACCCTGGCCTTCCACCTTTGCCAACACTTCCTCTTGCACAGTAAAACTTGCCTGGTGCTATAAAATTGTGTCAAATAAGCAGGACTGTGTCAAATATATTCTTGATTACTGACACTATGTTTTGACATTAGGCTCCTTTCACGTTTTGATTTTGTTCCGCTTCAAAATGTATGGGAATGTACGTATTGCATTTTGAGAAACACCCAACTTATACGAGAAAGATCAAGATTTTGAAAGATATAAACAGGAATTTTAGAAAAGAAATGGCCACATGGTGAGGAAACCAGGTCACATGCTCTTGAAAACCCCAATTCGTGATAGGAAAACTAATTTTGATTAAAAAAGGTTATATAAAGAATCCCAGGCCACAAAAAAACAGATTACACGAAAGCAAGATCACATAGAAAGTAATGTACATTTGGTAATATTTATAAACACTGTGACTAGAATGGCAGCAACAATCGAGCAAAACAAATTATATTGGAAAACATAGTTTTTTTTTTTTCAAAATAAGGTGTTGAAAACTTAGTATTGCTTGTAGCACATGACTGCAAGAAACTTTATAATATTAACAAGAACTTGGAACTTAAGTGTTACTTACAGAATATTATTATAATAAAATTTTTAATGCCAACCAGAACCTTAAATTGAGTATTTCTACTTACATATTACTATAAGAAAATAGTACCGATAAGAACCAGAACTCAACTTAGCAGGATTAACGAAGTTTAGATAAACAAATATAACTAAACGAAGACCTGAAATGTGAAAGGAATTTATATATGAAATTCCATATAATGATCATTAACGTGTGTATTACAATGATTGAAGAAAGCCAAGAATTTGATTTGTGTCAGAAGACTGAAGCTTCAACTTGACTGACGAAGAAGATTGGAAATTTCCTGAGGATTTCAAGTCTCTGAACAAATTAGTAATGAATTCTAATTTCTCTTTATATTCCAGACTTGTCAGTTTTTAGTTTATATACATCGTAATCCTTTTTACATTTTATGTCATATATATATCTTTAGATTAGTTAATATTGGATTAATATTTTTGTAGTAATGTTGTTAAGGTAATGTACAGTTTTCCATTATAGACTAACTTGAGTATATAAATGCAATAAGATCACAGTAAACAGGTGATATCAATATGCAAAACAACCACTGTGAAAAAATAGTGAAATTCCAAGCGCTTTCGTGATTTCTCACAGTATCAAGAACTATAAAAATGAAAGGTTAACAAGAAGGCATATAAGGACGAGATTACACCTCACTGCTACCCCACAACAACAATTTGTTGGGGGTGATAGCGAAGTGTAGTCTCGTCCTTATATGACTTCCTGTTAACTTTGAGTATACATACATATATATATATATATATATATATATATATATATATATATATATATATATATAATATATATATATATATATATATATATATATATATATATATGCATATATTAGTTTTACAATAAGTTATAATTGTTAATGTGCTATAGCCGATGAATCAAGTTATTTAGTAACTGAAGATAAATTTTTAATGTGTCCAGACTCCTTATTCTGATTTAAAGTAATTTTTAAAATTATCCACTTTTACAAACAGCTCACTATATACATAATTACAGTGTTTCATTCATAGTTGCCACTTTACAAATATACAGCTATGTATAGATATTCTTATATAATTTAATATTTAGTCTATGTACTAGAGATGCTAGTATGAACACTTCTTTACACTTGACACCATCACAGATCTCCAGACAATTAGTAGGATCCCATAGGTACATGGATCCACTCCTGAATACTGTATGACACTGAATTTCAAAATCATAACTAACCCTGAACTCTGACGAGGAAATTCTAGACGATGTTTTGGTTCATCCATGACAGACCGAAACGTCTGGTTTCCTCTCTAGCTTCCGGGTTAGTTGTGAACTGTGCCAACCACGGTATTAAATCTTCCTTACATAAAACACTGAAACATATCAAGAAAGACTTTCTTCCTAGTGAGCGGTAAGGCCTCCAGGCTAGCCTACTCTAGCCTCAACATGACTAGTAAGTAGTCTAAGTGGGGATGACGACCTAGTTTGGAGTGGTGCCACCTATCCCCTACCCTCCCCCCCCATGCCTCACCCTCTGCCTCAGTCACTTTCAACTGAAAATTAAAAAATATAATTTTGTTATAAATATATGATTTATTTTAAAGTGAGCAGACTTCTACAAATTTGAGCTCAATATTCTCATAGACTTGTAAGTAAACAAGGTAAAATTCTTTTTTTTTTTAAGGCTAGAGATCAGCTGCTTGTATTTTGAGTTTAGCAGTAAGTTATTATGTAAATTTCCCAGTGTTAAGTGGGTTGTGTAATGGAGACGGTTATATTTTGGGCCTAACCTAGTCAGATCTAGCCTAGATTAGGAATTAAATTCTAGGTTACGTTAAGTTGGGTTACTTTATTTTGGTTACCCAAAAAAAAAAATTCCCCATAGATCCAAAATATAACTGTTTCTATTGTACAACAGATTTGATATTGGAGAATTTACATGATAAGAAATACGAGGAGCTCATCTCTATATTTACCATTTTGTAAATGGCATAAAGGAGACAGTGGATTTGCCAAGTTAAAATTTCTGTTTAGTTTGCCAGTTGATTGTGATGTCATCAAGGCTTGTTGGGTGACTTGGAATTAAATCAAAACTCCAGTGATTTAATTTTGAGCATTCCAGTGTGACACTAAGATGCTTAATTGACATTTCATCATTACATTATTTTGAGCTAACCAAAACAATAATTTTATTTACATTTTCAGTCAATATGATATAACACTATTTTATCCCTGTGTTATGAAGTACCATGCTCCTTATTTACCCTAAAATTGTTTGAGGGATGTTATTTTGAGCGTTAATTCCTATGACTGAATCATACCGCATGTATAATATGACGGAAATAGACCTCATGGAATTGGCATTTGCGACTCAAAATAACGTCTCATTTGGCAGTTAAGTTAGTCTTTTAACACAGACCAAGGTTATGGATCAATATTTTAATAATGGTACGCAATTCCGACAAGTTGATGAATAAGACTTATGTGCAATCCTTTAGTATCTTTCCGAAATGTTTTGCGTACACAGTAGGTCTCTTAAGTCGAATATATAGAGTTGACTAAAACTGGAGACAAGAGTCTATCAGTTTTGAAGTAGTTTTGAGATACTCTTAGCCGTCTTGCACATTTGCATTATTCATCAAGTTTGTGGAGCTACCTCGCATTACTCACGTCTATACTGATATATAATTCCCCTGTACTTGCCTGTGGTAAAACACTATCTCAACACTGATTTTTATTTGCTGTGCATTTTCTTTCTTTTATCGGGAACTAAATTACACATTAAATTCAATGTTATATGGAGTAATTTACGATAATTTTGAGAACCTACCTGAACCAAGGCTACCAATCAGGTCCTTTCGAAAAAATAAATATAAAAACGAAATACGCAAAAAATCATGTAACAAGAACTTGATTTTTATTTTAAATTTTTCGTGCATGATAGCCTTATTAAACAAGCGAATAATATATGTTTTTTTTTTAAAGTACAGCTGGTTTGAAATATATTGAATTTCTTAAAATGGCTTTATTTTCAACAGTTTAGATTATCTTAACCTAGTGAATTTGTGCTTGTAAATTATTTGAGTGTTACTGTGGGAAAAACGTTAAAATGTTACTTTTTTTTGTAATAAGGTATATACACCGAGAGATGTGTTCCCTGATGCATATATTTTAATTCCTCTAGGATAAAGTAGCCTTGATGTTACTATGTAACTTGTGGCCTTAACGACCGTCGTGTAGTCAATAAACCTCTTTTCCAAAATTTAAATATATTAAAAATATATATTAACATTTTTCGAGTTGAGTATTAATATACGAAATTTGTGACTTACAAATTAGTCGTTACATCTACTGGGTTTTATTTCTGCTAAGCTCATTTTATTTTGACAAGCTTCGTTTTCTCATTTTTTCATACTAACGCCCATCATCTCTCTCATTTCCAGTTCCTAAACCCCCCCACAAACCTCCATCATCATCATGTCTTCAGACGAGGAGGAGTACAGGTAAGTTGTGACCAAGATGACAAAATATCACAGGCTAGATGCACCGAGAGATGTATATCACTCAGTGTATATCTACTAAGAGCTTACGGTAATTCTTATTTTAGGAGTTAAAATATCTTTGGTAGTACTATACAGGTGACATTCTTCAAACCCCATTAATGAACCAGAAAGTGTATAAATTTGGTACATACAGTTCGCATATTAGAGGATTCGGCTATGTATAGGAAGTATTTGTGCATGGGGAACTACCTAGAGATACAGAATACACAAGTTTTGTTAATGATGTTTATGTTAGATACATAGCTAGGCTACAGGTAATGGGTTGGTACACTTTGGGATACATGAGGCACACAACTGGTATTAAAATATTATACTGTTACATTACAAACAAAACTAAGCTACTGGTGACCAAACAGTGCTTGAAATAAAAGGTGCATATAGGTTAATACACAACTCTTCAAGGTAGCAGACAAAGGAACAACAAATCTAGGATGAAAACTGTTTTGAAAAAATAATGACAATTTCATGTTTTTAGACTCGAGATCACTGCAGGTTAATAACTATCAAATGAATGTTCCTCGAAGCACTAAGACAAGAAACTCTAACATTATAAATTTAGGATCAACATTTTTGAATGTTTTGACGAACATAACTTCACATTTCTTTATATCATTCGAACACACATACCCATGTATCATGCTGTAGAGAAGGTGGCCACTATGAAAACTAGTAGAAAAAAGTAAACAAATTATTGTATTTGGGACTTAGTCATCTTAAGAGTCCTATTTTTTCTTTAGGTATAAATTGGAAAACGACGAGCTGGCGTGTATAGGAGAAATGTAGATTTTTGTACACTAATCTCTCATTTTCTTTCCCCCCAAAAAAGCAGTTCAGAGGAAGAAGACACCATGGCTGACGAGGTATAAATAATGTTCCATTTC